AAACCCAATATCTCATTTACACATTCCTTTAATAATATTTATGGTGGGCCTACTATGTGTCAGGCACTAAGGACATAAACACTCCTTGAAATTGTTTGTAGTAAAAACATTATTAAGACATAATTGACCTACTATACAATTCACTCAAAGTGTACAACTCGGTATTTTTCAGTATATTTACACAGTTGTACAATTATCACCACCATCTAATTTTAGAGTATTTTCATCACCCCAAAAAGAAATCCCATATTCATTAGCAGTAACCCCTCCCACCCACACTACCCTCCCGCTAGCTCCTGGCAACCACTAATCTAACTTTCTCTCTCTATGGATTTGTCTATTCTGGACATTTCATATAAACAAAATCATACAATCTGTGGCCTTTTGCGAATAGCTTCCTTCATTTAGTATAACATTTTCAAGCTTCATCCACATCGTACCATGTATCAATACTTCAGTTATTTTTACTGTCGAATAATGATCCATTGTATGGATATGTCACATTTTATCTATATGTTCATCGGTTGATGGGCACTTGGGCTGTCTCCACTTTTTGGCTGTTATGAATAATGCTGCTATGAACATTCATGTACAAGTTTTTGATGTGGACAAATGTTTTCATTTCTTTTGGATATATATCCAGGAGTGGAATTGTTGAGTCATATGTGTTAAAAAAAAAAACCAAAATTCATCTGAGTAAATTTTAAAGTTCTTATTGGCTTTATTCAAGGATTCATGAATCAGGTGGCATCCAATCTAGCAGACAGAAAGGAGCTCGGATGAGCTGTACGAAAGGAAAGATTTTTATAGGCAGAAGGAAGGGGGAACAAGGAAGGTATAGTGGCAAAAAGTAGATTGGAGTCACAAGGTCACTTCCTTTAACAGATGGCAGGGGTCTATCAGACTTCACTAGTGACAGGTTTAAGATTCCATTTCTGGGAGAGCTGAAACTGTAATTAAGTTTCAGTTTGGTGATGTGGGGCTTAGCATGAGTGACTCCATTTTGGGCCTGTTGTCTTGTTTTTAACATATGGTAATTTTGCTTAATATTTTGAGGAACTGCCAAACTCTCTTCTAAAGTGTCTGCACCATTTAACGTTCCCACTAGCAGTGTAGGAGGGCTCCAATTTCTCTACGTCCTCACCATCCTAGTGGGTGTGCAATGATATCTCAGTGTGGTTTTGATTTGCATCTCCATCATGGCTAATGCTGGTGCTTTTCACGTGCTCGTTCATATATATCTTCTTTGGAGAAGTGTTTATTCAAATCCTTTGCCCATTTTTTTAGTTGGGCTATTTGTCTCTACTGTTGAATTCTTAGCATTCTTTGTGTATTCTGGATACAAGTTCCTTCTCAGTCCTTTTTGAATCTGAAGAGACATCTAAATCAAGGTCAGAGCAGGGGTTACAATTTTAACAGTTGGTGGAGTTCGTTGGCAGGTGAGAGAAACCTTGCAAAGAATGCATTTTGTCCCACACAGAGGATTCCTGCAGGGACGGACCCTGGAGGGGCAGTGTGTAGAACTGTCAGGGCATGCCTGGGCCTGCTCTCTGTTCAATTACACCCCTTTCAGAACCCCTGCCAAAGAGGAGTTTGAGAGATTTGACAGGCTGGAGGAGGGTAGGAACGCTTGCTGGTTAGTGCATTGAAGGCGGAATTGTATGGGGAATTTTTCTTTCTTTTTCTTTTTCTTTTTTTAAAGGAGCATAGGCTTTTATTTCTTGAGCAGATGAGATGGCACATAGAAAAGCATTTCGGAATTACAAAGCGATGCAAATGTAAGGTGATATTCTTATTGTTACTATTGTTATTTGTAGGAACGGATGAAAACCCTCTCTAGGATGAGAGCCTGTGTGTAGGGGTGGAGTGGGCAGAGATTGGGGAGGGGGAGTTGTGAGGGGATAAAAGCTAAAGGAGTGAGGAGGGTAGCAGAGTTTGCAAACCTTGGTTACCTGTGTGTGAGATGAGAGAGAAACACCCCTGTGATTTCTGGCATATTCCTTTACCACCTGTCTAGTTATTTACTTAATATTTTTCTCTAGATGGGCTCCTATTTCTTTTCATCAAACAGATATATTTAGAAAGGAAACATATCACAGGTAGAAATGGCAAACCTGCATCAGTTTCAAAAAGGAATGGACAGGGGCTTCCCTGGTGGTGCAGTGGTTGAGAGTCCACCTGCCGATGCAGGGGACAGGGGTTCGTGCCCCGGTCCGGGAAGATCCCACATGCCGCGGAGCGGCTGGGCCCGTGAGCCATGGCCGCTGAGCCTGCGCGTCCGGAGCCTGTGCTCCGCAACGGGAGAGGCCACAACAGTGAGAGGCCCGCATACCGCAAAAAAAAAAAAAAAAAAAAAAAAAAGGAATAGACAATATAAACAAATATAAGGAAAACCAAACAGTGTCGTTAAATTCTAGCTGGATGTTGTTGCTTTCTGGGTCTGGAAAACTCTCCAGACTTAGCCTGGCTCACTCTCCTTGTCGCTCAGGTCTCTACTCAAATGGCCACTCCTCAGGAAACCTCCCCAGCCCCACCCCCTCTCCATCCTTGCTTTATTTCTTTCATAGCCCTTACCACAATTGAAGGGATGTTGGTTTTCCTATGGGCATCTGGTGCCACGAGGGCAGCGCCTTGTTTGGCTTAATCACTCTGTCTTCACTGCCGGGCTGAAGAAAGAGTTGAGGGGCTTCCCTGGTGGCACAGTGGTTAAGAATCCGCCTGCCAACGCAAGGGACACGGGTTCGAGCCCTGGTCCGGGAAGATCCCACATGCCGCGGAGCAACTAAGCCCGTGTGCCACAACTACTGAGCCTGCGCTCTAGAGCCCACAAGCCACAACTACTGAAGCCCGCGCGCCTAGAGCCCTTGTTCCACAACAAGAGAAACTACTGCAATGAGAAGCCCGTGCACCGCAACACAGAGTAGCCCTGCTCACCGCAACTAGAGAAAGCCTGCGTGCAGCCACGAAGACCCAACGCAGCCAAAAATTAATTAATTAATTAATTAATAATAAAAAAAGAGTTGATTAAGTAAGCCGCGCGGGTTACGGGATCTTAGTTCCCTCACCACCAGGGATCGAACCCGTGCCCCCTGCTGTGGAAGCCAGGAGTCCTAACCACTGGACCGCCAGAGAATTCCCGCTAGTTTGTTTTTGTTCTCCTTTTAGCAAGTGTCAACGAGGTGTTAAAGGCACATGCCAGCAGCGCTGCCACTGGCACCTCATGGGACAGGAGGGCTGAGCGAGACTTCAACTTCAGAAGGAAACAGCCGTCTGGGGTGCGGCCCTGCAGCTCCCCTGACTCCCACCCTGCACTGTGGGCATCCCCAGGCTTGCAACGACAATCCAGGCTTCGGATCCTCCCTTGGCCCTGGCCAGCTGAGTGACCCCACAGCATTCCTGAACCTCACCAGCTTCGGTCTTCCCCAGGACTCTGTGAGCACAGGAGACAGCTCCTATGGACACACCTGATGAGAGAAGCCGCTCAATAAATGAGAATAGAAGATCAGATGGTTTGCCAGAAGGTGGGATGTAATTACTGACTTTGCCTGCTAACATCCTATGCTTTCTTCCAGGCCCAACTTTAAAAAGTAATAATATTGTTTACCCTTTACGGAGAACTCATCACGGGCCAGCTACCTTGCTATAGAAGAGGTTTATATACCTATCATTTAATTTTAGCCTTGCAATAACCCTATAAAGTAGGGATTTATTATTCCCTTTTTAAAGCTGAGGGAACTGAGGGCCAGAGTAGTTTTATGACTTGTCCAAGGGGATGCAGCAAGAGGTGACGCAGGCAGCCCACATTCTTAACCATGACATTATAACAACCACGTAAATGCCACCTCCTACACGAAGACTTCCCGTCCAGCGGTCTCCTCTTCTAAATACTCATAACTCGTATTACCTCTCTGATGACATCTCTACTCCATCTCCCATGGTGTGTGTGTGTGTGTGTGTGTGTGTGTGTGTGTGTGGCAAGTATCCATCCCTCGAGGACTGAGACCACATTCACCTATCTCTCCCCAGGGTCAAGCCAAGCACCTGACATACTGTGGATACCCTACCTGTGTCTGTCCAGTAAATAAGGACTAAGCGCTCCTGGGTTTCTTCTGCCAGTCTCCATCTCTGTGGAGGGCCGATGAAGAAAAATGAGCAGCTGCATTTCCAGAGATATAAACTAGCTATATCAGGAAGCCCCTGGGATGTTTACCTAGGACAGCATGTGGAAGGACATGGGTACACGAACCAGGAAACCGACACTGGCACTGAGACTAGGGGAGGGGGTGGCTTCGGGAGGACCCTCCTGGCGGGCAACACTGACGTCTGTGCTGGACTTCTCCGTCTTTCCAGATTCTCTCTCCGCTCTGCTCTCAGTCCCCACAGGAGATCAGAGGAAGAGGAGGGGGTGGCGTGTGGATATTGATTCCATAGGCATTGGTCCAGGACTGGTAACAGCTCTGTGGTTTCTAACCCGGATGCCATGCTATCCTGGGTGATTTCCACACTCCCTGACCTTGTCTTTGAAGAGTCCCTTTATTAGACCCTCTTCATATGATCCTGATTTGACTGTGCCCTCTGCTCCTTCAGGGACCTGACGGATGGGTAAAATGCCATTTTCTGTGCTCTTTGGGCCACGTCTTGATGTCAAAGTCTATGCTTACTCATCCCACACCTGGCATAGTGCTTGGGGCGTGGTTCTAATAGCTAACACTTGTCAAGCATTTATTACGTACAAGGCACCGTTACCTGTATTGACTCAAATAATCCTCACAACAATCCCGTGATCCTCATCCCCATTTTATAGATGAGGAAACTAAGACCCAGAGAGGTTGGTTAACTTGCCCCAGATCACATGCCTTGTCAGCATGTGGCACGTGCCAACAGTGCCTGCTATTGGGCTGCCTTCCTGTTTGCTGTTTGGGGAGTGATGTCTATTAGCCTCGGGAACCAAACGAATCTGTTTCTTTGCCCACTTAGGAGCTCAGGTAGAATGGGCAGAAGGCGGAATGTAGGTCACCAAGGCAACCGATCACTTGGTGCACAGCTGGTGAGCCCTTGGGGCTGAGGTTCCACTGCTGGCAGAGAAAAGGGTAGGGTTGGCATGGGGCAATGTTTGAGGTACCAGATGAACTGGGAGGACTTGGAAGAATACCAGGTGGGTAGATCAGGCAGGAGATTCTGGGCAGAGGTGGAAGCTTCCCGAAGCAGGTGGGAAAACTCTTGAGGTGGCCCTCGCCTTTGCTAAACCTACATCCATCTGACCCGGACCAGCCTTCCGAGGCTTGTCTCTTGCTCCAGAGCCCAGGGTTTTAGCCTTGTCTCCGATTCTTTCTGCAGGTCTGTGCCAACATGCTCCCTCCCAAGACCATCAGAGATGGGGGAGGAGGGTGGGGTACCATTACCTCCTCTGCACCACCCCAGGTATCCACTGCCAAGGGCTGGGAGCCTCCGTTCCCTGGCTGTGCAATGAGAGCACGAGCTTTTTCTCATCAACCCCTGAAGCTCCCCGCTCCCCGGGGGGCCAGGGCAGGGCTGGACAGAGTGGGCAGGTCACCTCTCTGTGGTTTGTTGCAGGCCTTGACCTTCTTGACCAGAGATGAAATCCTGTGGTGAGTAGAGGGGGCCCCCTTTACCTCCCCTTGAGCTGAAGTCTTGCCCTGGTACAGCCTCACTCTGATCCTTGAGTACGGTCCCTGCTCAGAACAGCAGAGTCCTGGAGACGAAGCTGGCAGTGGCCAGGCAGAGACGGACCCCAACCCCGAGGGTCCAAGGTCATGATTCCCAGGGCCTGACTACAGTTGAGTGAAAAGTCAGGCCTTAGGTTGCTATGGGATCCAAGGCAAGGTTTCTTCATAGAATCACAGAGGTGGACAGGGCCTCCCTGGGATGATGAGCAAAAGGAGGAAAGGACTTAGGAAACAGGTCTGAAGCCCGTTTGGCTGCAGAATCCACTAGCTGGGTAAAGTTGATGCGCTGTTGAATCTCTCGTAGCCCTCCCTTCCCTCCCAAGCTTTGCTTCAGTGCCTCTCAGCACTGGGAGTGTGGGTGAGCAGTCCACAGCCCCTGTTCTCATGCAGGTGATGGCCAGTGGGGAAGGCTCCAGGCCAAGACAACCATCACGAGGATCCCTCATGGGACTGCGGAGGGAGTAGACGGCATGGAGATGTGTGAGCGCTCGGCCCGGGCCAAGAGCTCAAACTTGTTAGAGGAATAAAGGAGCTTCACTAAGGCATTGGGGTGGGTGGGGTGAGGTTGGAGTGACGAGACCATCCTTAGACCCACAGGGCTCTCTCCCCTCATTGTCTCAGCTTGGACTCACCCTCCCCAGCATCACGCCCAGCCTGGAAGCCATACTTCCCACTCAGGGTGCCAGGCGGGGCAATGATTCCGCCACAAGCATGAGACTCCCCAGGCACAGATGGGGGCTGAGAGATGGCGGGGGCACAGGGAGTGACAGAGACCAGGGACAGTCACGGGGTTACATCACTTTCACTTTAAAATGAATAGTTGCTCACTTTTTGAAATATAGAAAAATAGGACAAAACTCCAAATAACCAATATCCTACTACCCATATATCCCTTTTGATATTTTCTAAAAAGGAACACTTGAATAAAAATGAAATGAAAATTTAAAAGTAATATGTGAGCATGGCTAGAAAATTCAAGTAGCCTAGAAACTTCTAAGTGAAAAGTAAATGTCAGGGGCTTCCCTGGTGGCGCAGTGCTTGAGAGTCTGCCTGCCGATGCAGGGGACACGGGTTCGTGCCCTGGTCCGGGAAGATCCCACATGCTGCGGAGCGGCTGGGCCCGTGAGCCATGGCCGCGGAGCCTGCGCGTCCGGAGCCTGTGCTCTACAATGGGAGAGGCCGCAACAGTGAGGGGCCCGCGTACCGCAGAAAAAAAAAAAAAAAAAAGTAAATGTCTCCCTCCCCTTCCCAGGCCTTCTCCCTGAAGATAGCCACTGTTCACAGTTACTTTCACATCGAGGCTTCCAGAAAAAATTTTCATAGATCTACATAAGCATCCTTCAAAAATTTTATCCCATTCATACTGTAGCACTTACCCATTTATAGTGAAGCATCATACTGTCCTCTACCTTTTTTTTTAAGTTTTTATGTTGGCTAGTTTTACATACAGCACATAGAGACCTGCCTCATTCTTTTTAATGGCTAAGGAGCATTCTTTCCTATAAAAGATATATCATTTATTTTACTACCCCCCCCATAATGTACACTTAAGTTGTTTATGGGTTTTAGTTCTACCAAGAATGCTATAGTAAACAAATATTTATGTATGAAGAGCTTATCCAACAGGTCAGATTAAATCCATAAGAGAGATTTCTAGCTATAGAAATGCTGGGCAAAGGGTGGCTATGTTTAAAATGTTGACAGGGATGACGGGATTGTGCTGTACCAATTTATTTTCTCAGCACTTGAGCATGAGTATGCCTGCTCCCCTCTCCATCCAGAAAGTTCAAAGACTCTCACATCGTCTTTGGGTCGCTAGGGCTCCTCACATGTGCCTCATGCACCTTGCCTCAGGGAGCTTCTGGAGCCTCCATTAAAATTAATAAGTAAACTAAGTTCTCCATTAAAACTAGTAAGTAAACTAAAAAAAAAAAAAAAAAAGGAAGACAAGGGCACCAGGAAACAGAGGATGTCAAACAATGGAATTACAAAGATGACAGTGAAGAAAAGCCCATGATACTGGGGCATGCAGCAGGCCTGAAAAGCAATGAGTCCAGATTAGAATTAAAGAGTTAGGAGTTCCAAGAGTGATGCCCCCAAGAAAACAAAATGAACCTATAGGTGGTGTAATGTATATAACCATATTGAGAGGAACTTTACAGTTCTGCAGAAAGTTTTGGGATGAAATCATGATAGAAACACTGAAACCTAAGCAAAAGGAAGACAGTGATTATTAACTCTGGGAAAAACAAAGAGTCTTGCAAAAAAGAAAAATGTAATCACGTTGCACTAGGGAACTCAGCTGTGAGCAATGTTTGAATAATACATACATAATATGTAATAATATATACAAATGTAAAAATAATATGTATATAATAATAACATAAACACTGAATTTTGATTCAGGCAAATCATCTTATATTGGGAAGTTAGGGGAAGGAGAAGTAGTATACAGAGAGAGATAAATTCTCTCTTTTTTTTTAATAGTAAGAGGGCACAAAATAAAGTCTATAATGAAAAAAATACCAATAAACGGCAGTATCAGCACTGTCTTTAGAAATACTATGCAAATATTAAGGAAAAACCAAGAGAAATAGCAAATTTTTCTTTTAAATGCCGCCTCTGGAGAGCAGGGGTAAAAAGGTGGTATAGGACACTGGGTATTAGTGATATTAATTGTGAGCCTTATAACGCTATTGGCTTTTTTAACCTATTTATCTGTCTTACTTTGGTAAACTAGACTGGTATATATAGGATGCTACAGTTTTTGTAAAATAAAGTGTTATACATACAATGCATATGCACACACACACAGAGAATACCTTAGGAACGGGACACACACGCGCGCGCGCGCACGCGCTGATCTTAGGTCAGCTCCTCGGAGGGGACCTGGGCACTGACTACATTAGCGTTAGTGTGGACGCACTGTCTGTAACGTGAAGGGGCAGCTTCGATATGGGTGCCCAGCAGCACTTGCTGTGGCTCAGGGAGCAGATGGTACGTGATGCTCAGGGGAGAAAGCAGCCGTCATGGGCTGCCACGGCCAAGTTGAGCCTGACTAAGCTCCGATCACTTTTGAGCAATTTTTCGACGTCACCTCTGACAACGTGCTGTGATTTTCCTACAAACGTGACAAAGGAACGTGGATTGGTTGACTACACTTGGATGGAGTTAGCCAGTTGAAAAAAAGTGACCAAGAGACTGATAAACAGAGGTAATCTTTGCAGGAGAGTGCCTCTGCCCTTGTCTAAATGCTTTCCCACCTGTGGCTTGCATAGGGCCTAAAGACCTGGTCACTGGATCTGCAGACGACACATAATGGGAGAGGCAGACCACATGTCACAGCTTCTTCCCCGTCCAGGGCTGCCTTGGCTCAGCTCTCCAAGAAGGGGTCTGTCCACCCTAAATTTCTAGCCTGTGGGAATCTCCTTTCACATCCCGTTGCTCTCTGAAAAGAGCTGGGTCCCTTTCATCCTCAGCTTTCAGGTCAGCCTTCTATGACTTCTGGTTAAATTTGCTGCCCTAGAAACTCCTGTCTTCCAGATGTCTCTTTGGGCTCCATGCACTGGCCCTCCAGGGCCCTCATCTTCAGCTGTGGCTCTAGACCCCGGGTCTGGGACCTGACTCAAAAAGGGCACGTGTGGCTTCCTTTAGACCTCTGTGGCTGGGCCTGGGTCAACCCAACTCAGTTTGAGCAATTTGGATTATGCTGTATCACTCAGGGATGGCTCCTGACACGATCTAGGGCTCGGGGTGGATCTGACGTGGGAGCCTGAAGCCTTGCCCCTAGCTCCTGCTCAGGCTGACCTGGCCATAAGGCCCCTCTATCCACTTAGCAACCTTGAGGTCCCCCAAATTTTCAGTCTCCAGGCCCCGTCCTGGCCATTAGCCCCTGGTCCTCCTGGAGCACCAGGAGGTCAGCAGGCAGAGTGGTTACACGCTCGCTTCCTGGAAGCCAAAGCCTGGAGTTCGAGGCTCAGCTTTGCCATTTACTTGCCGTGTGATCTTGAGCGAGTTTCTTACCCTCAGGGAGCCTCAGTTTCCACACTCACAAAAAGTGTCATATGTATCAACCTCACATGATTGTTACTAGGACAATAAGATGATCAAATCTGCGTCAGGAGTTAGAGCAGTGCCTGGCACAGGGATCGGCGCTGAGACTGTGGTAGCTGTTATTTTCATGGTATTATCACTTCCTTTTTGCAAATGAGGAAACTGGCTCAGAGAAATGAAGTGATTCGCCCAAAGTCACACAGCTTGGAAGTAGCAGATCATAGGATTAAAAGCCACATTTTTCAAGCTAAAGATAGGGCCATTTATAAAATACCTGCAGGCCGTTCCATGGGGCAAAGAACAATTGACCCCATGGGATGGGAGTGAAGCCCAGGTCGGGGAGCCCAGGCTGGGGTGGAAGGTGTGGAATTGGAGGCTTTCACTGGAGCCAGGTTCTCAGTGCTACCTGTATAATACAAATACAGAAGCATGTAGAACCTATAGGGGCCTGGGCCCCATGCTAGCCTTGAATGAGAATCTCTAGAGCTGAGTACGGATACTTTCACAAGCTCCTCACATGATTGTAATGTGGGACCCAGTAGAAAAAGGCTAAATTGGAGGGCCTCAGAGGCAAGGATTTGGACAGGATGCCAGAGAGGGGCCCAGAGTACCTGCACTGGAGGATGGAGGGGGGTGACTGAGACTCATTGGACAGAGGGCAAACGGAGGCCCAGAGTGGACACGGCAGGTCCAAGTCCCGCAGAGCCCGCGGACAGCCCCTCCCCTTGTCTGGCCAGGTGTGGCCGGAGATGCAGCTTGGGTTGCTTGTTTTCTGGCAGGCGGGATGTGTGAGTTTTTCAAATGGCTTTGACTTTTGAGTCTATTAGTGATTAATTCAGAGCTCCATTTAGAGCTAGCTGATCCATATTTGGAGGAGCAGAACATTTTGTGGCAGCCGAGGCGCAGCCACGATTCATCTGCGGGCAGCCCACCCACTTGGCAGCCTGAGAAGGCACGAAGTCTGGGCAGGGCCCTCTCACAGCACCCCCTAACCCAGAAGGCTCTTCAGGGTGGGGGGTTGGGCCTGAGAGTCTTTCACCTGGGTGGGAGGTGGATCCTTTAGAGGTGGGCAGTACAGCCCAAAGAGCCTGGCTTAGGGTTCAGACCCCACTCTACCTCTTCCAAGCTGCATGACCTTGGGCAGACCCCTTCAACTCTCTGAGCCCCGGTTTACGCATCTACGGAAATGATCGCCCCTATACCTCTCACGCAGGGTTGCTGGGAAGATTCAATGAGCTAATATGCTTGGATGCACTCAGCACACAGAGCTTGGGACACAAGAAGGGGGGTGGTAACGGCAGCGGAGGTTCCTTCTTTTCCCCCTGCAGTCCTTCTGAGACCTCCCTCTCTGGGCTCCTGGGGAAGGAGCTTTGGCGTCTGCAGCTCTGGCTTCACGCTTACCCCTGTGTGACCTTAGACAAGGCCAGTTAGTTTACCTCCTTGAGCCTCAGTTTCCTCGTTTGTAAAAGTGAGATAATGGTCCCTACCTTTCAAGATTGTTCTGCAGGTTCCACGAAAAACGTCCATGCGAGCTGGCAGCGTGCAGCAGGCACTCCCAGTGGAGGACCAGGGTGGGGGACGGCGGGAGTAGCCCACCCTGGGCAACGGCCATACAGGTGCCTGGCCTCAGAGAAGTCTTAAAAATTAATATAATGTACTGAAAGTCAGTCTGCTTTTTATCACCCCACAACAGCAATTCTAACAATGACAGTGATCAAATGCTCCTTTGGACTGGGGCAGACCACTGCCAGCGCCCCTTCCCCTTGTAGGCCACTGGACCCTCCAGGGGCGATGGCTTTCCTCTCCTCCTTGCTGTCCTTCAGTGTCCCTCCTCCCACCCATACTCTCCTGGAGACTGTCTCTCCTCCCCCATTTCACACCCCACTTCTTGGCTCTCTCCCCAACTTGTCGGTGTAAAGTCTCTGGCGACAGTTGGGGCCCCATACAAGGCTGACAGAGTTCATTCTCCAGAATGTGGACTGGGGTGGGGGCCACAGGATGAGGGCTTCCCCTCCTGGCCGGGGGCAGAGTTCTCTCCTGCCTGCTTCCTCTTTGTGATCACACAGCCATTTCCCCCTCTACCTGCCTGTGCCTTGTAAACAAAATCCCTTGGAGCGGTGAGGAGGCCTGCAGACAGACATTGATTATTGGATCGATGGGGACAGTTGTTCAGTCCCACAGTCTGGAATCAGCGCACTGGCCTCGGGTGGCTGTGTGATTTGCTGGCTGCAGGCAGCTGGGTTCTAATCCTGGCTCGGCCACACCGACCGAGCGACCTCTTTTCTCTGAGCTGAGTTGAGGGTGGGGCTGGACAGATGGCCTGGGGTGGCATGCTGACATCCCCAAGGCCCTGCTGGTTTCTCCATCGTAAATGAGGGGCTGGAGCGAGAGAGGACAGAAGTCCCTTCCGGTGCACTTGCAGGTTGTTCAGGCTACAGAGCACACATTCACATACCTTTCCTCGAGCCTGGTGTATCTTTGCATCCACCACGGTGCGCTGGGCACACTGGAGCACCAGGGATGTTTCTGGAAGGGTGGAATGATCTATAACTGTTTTCTCTGTGTCAGTTAATTCTGAGTCCCCTTCCTCCAAAGAGAGCCCGTGGGAGAGGGGACCTGCTGGTCCCCACTCCCAGCCCACCACGCCTCTCTTCTTAGCATCCACGACTCCTTCCTGAAGCTCTGTCCCCACGGGAAGTACTACAAGGAGGCCACCTTGACCATGGACCAGGTCAGCTCCCTGCCAGCTCTGAGGGTGAGTTCACGGGGTGGGGTGGAGGGGGTGGGGGCGGCCTCCCTGGGATCTGCTGAGGCGCGGAAAGCACTGGCCTCAGTGTCCTCACCTGTGAAATGGGTGGAGTGGTGGGCCGGCTCAGATTCCATGTGCTCCCTGAGGCCCTGTGCACTCCAACAGGCTGTGTTTGCACGAGCTGCCAATCTTTTAGGGACCGTCCTTGAGCTTTTGTCCCTGTTGTGAAAAGACCCTGCCCTTCCCCCAGGGTGCCTGGAAGAGCCCAGAGGTGCACGATAAAAGGGCTCCCCAATCAATCCTGAGATTTTAATTAAACTTTGTGCAAAGCATAGAGAGGCAATGCCAGCTTAACAAATCACAGCAGTGTCAGGCTTCCTGATTTTTCATTCGGATCTTGGCAGAATAATGGTTTGAAGGTGTCATTGTGCAATGAGAGCCCATCTTCATTTCTGTCTGGAGCAAGACAGGTTCAGAGAGCTGTGGGTGCCTCTTTAAAGAGGGCCGGGGGCGGGGTGGCAGGAGGGGTTCTGAGGGAGAGATGGTGGGCGGGGGAGGGGCGGCCCCTCCGAAGTGACAGACCTGTTCTAGGGCAAAGACCGAGAAGGAACACATAGCCCGGGACTTGCAGTAGAGGCTGGAACTGAGAAGACGAGGGAACCAGAAGGGGTGTGGGATCTCTGGGGGAGCTGGGAGCAGAATCCTCAAAAAGGTGACATCATTGGAGAACGTGTCTATCCCAGATGCAAAATGGGGAGCCTGTCCTCCAGGGACCCCCTCCTCACACACACAGCCCTGCACACCCTCACACCCGCAAACACTCAAACACAAGGCGGGGGACTTCTCCCAGACCTAGACTGAGAGGCAAGGCTGAATGGGGAGCTTCTGCCCTCCCCTCCCTGGGCAGGCGGTTGGTATCACTGTTCAGTCCCAGAATATCTGAATGCTAAGCTTGGAAGGAAACTTAGAAACCACCAGTCTAGCCACTTTCCAGTGTTCTCCACTCTGGTTTTATCCATCGGAAAACTGAATCCCCAAGAGGGAAACAGCTTACCCAGGGCCACATGACACGGCAGAGCCTGGAAGTCAGGCAGGACTCTGACCCCACGGCCGGGCCTGCACTTCCAGTCAGGGCTTGGCTCAGTGCTGACATGTGTCTGGGGCTGCCAGGCGCCTTGGGGAGCAGCTGGCAAAGACCCGCCCTAGAGGGCTGGTACAGAGGGTGCTGCATGACCAGTGGCCCCAGCGCTCTGGATGGACCCAGCACACCCTAGTCACGCTTGGGGGCTCTGATCTGAGTCCCAGAGGAGAAATCACTGGACTAGGTCAGAGGGCTGGGTCCGGGCCCAGCTCCATCACACTCCACGGATGACACATCTCCCCTCTAAGTTTAATCTCCGGTCTGTAAAATAACATGCACACCCTGCGCTGTGTAACAGACCTTGCAGGGATGAGCCATGGTCCTCTGCAGCCTCCATTTTGCTCGCCTTCCTCTCCCTCTTCTTGGGGTCTGGGGTGGGGCTGCCAAGGCTGGAGAAGAATGGAGGAGGGGCAGATGGGCACTTGGGCAACAACCCCGGGTGGTCTGGGGTCTGCTTGGCCGCGGGCTCATCACCTGGCAGACAAGGGCTGGGGGCCGATGCAGCAGAAATGTCAGGCTACTGTAAAGTGCTGTGATGTGTGAGGGGCTGTGGGCGGACCACCGCCCCAGGGCGAGGCCACAATCTGGGTCATCTCTGGAGCCCTAGAGCCCCAGGAGTTTGTTCACTGGACAGTGGCTGGGGACTGAGACGGGGTCTTGGGACGAGAGTAATTTTACATTTCTTATTTCATCCTTCTAAACGATCATTAGTTTATTCTATCCTACAAATAAAAACCACATCGTTGCAGAAAAACTGGAAAACACAGACAGAGAAGCAAAAATATGGTAAAAATCATCACGTAGCCTACCTCAGGGTATGACTGTCATGATCATCTTGCCTTATTTCTTTCCACACTTTTTTTTTAATGTGGATATATAAGTGTTTATTGGGATCACACTGACTTTTTTGCTTGTTGCTTTTTTTTTTCTTCCCCTTTTTAGTTTCTTTGTTGCTTTTCCAACTGGTTCTGAACAACCAGTACCATCTCATGAATTGAGGACACGGAGCCTTTGCCACATCTAGAGAACTAGGGGACAGGGCATAGGGCCAGGACCGGAAGAGCTGGCTTTGAACTCACTTGCTAGGCAAGTGATCTCAAGCAAGTCACTTCACAAAAGGAATGATTGAGGGTGAGGGGGAAGCAAATAGACCCCAGCAAAAGACTAGGAGGGAGGGGTGCAGCGTGGAGCTGTTTTCCTGCAAGTGAAAGGCCTGGCTCTAGGTGCTCCCAGGCATAGGCATGGGTCCAAGGACGTAGGTTTCTCCACAGTAGAAGGAAGCACTTTTTAATCATCAGAGCTGCATGCAGAGGGAATGAGCTCCCTGTCCCTGACGGGCACCAAGCGGGAGGCTGGCCAAGCATTCAGCTGGGGTGTTCTAGCACACACCTAGGTATCAGAGGAGACTGGACTGCGTGCACTGGTGCCCTCCTCACCCTCCGGGTCTGAGGTTCTGATTCTACCCTGGAGCTTGGTCTTACTCTCCTTTGTGTCATCTACCACAGTGTGTCCCAGACTTTGGACTTCATAGTCCGATAAAATCCACCACCCCCCCACTCAAAAAATTATTATTTTGAGGAAGGACTAGCTAGAAATGCCAACTTTCCAATTTTGCAAGTAAGGACTTAAAACATGTCTCCACAATCATCATTTCATTTTTAAAAGATGTTCATTTTAGAACAAAAACGTAAGAAGGATCTAATCCCAGAAGCAATAACAGTTCTTTCCACACACATCCCCTTTTGTTCTTATTTTTCTCCCTCTGTTACTTTGTCCCTGATCATGCCTGGTCCTCAGACTAGCATTTGGGGTTTTAGATCCAGGAATTAAGTTTCCGTCTGTGCCTTTCCTATCTCGGTCGAAGCAGAAAGCTGACTTCCCAAAAGGAGCAAGGAGAGGGTTGATGGGAGGTGGGGCCCCAAGTGTCCCCGTGTCCTCTGCGGCCCCAAGGACGGGAGCTGGGTGACTCACCCTGCCCAGAACACATCTCTGGAAAAGCATTGAGAACGGGGCCCCAGGGAGCTCTGGGTACTGGTATTACTTGGCTCAGGGTCCTGAGTGATCTGGGAAGAAAGTTCTGTTTTCTTAACTTGGATCCACTCGTGGAAAAAGTAGGTTGGTTAATATTGGGAAGCGTCTGTCTGTCAGCGGAGGGCAAGGCAACAGCGGCCTGGGCAGCAGAGGCTAGCGGAAAAGCCTGACCACAGGAAGGCCCTGCTGGGCCAGGACGCACTGCCCCTTTTTACTGAGAAGTTTCTGTTTTCTTTTTGTCTGCCGCTCTGTTTGGTGTATTTAGAAGTGAATTAGCTCAGTGTTTCTGTTCTTGTAAATAATGATCTTGCTTTCTGTAAACATGAATGAGGAGTGGCATGGTGTGACCCGCTTGGGTTTCTAGTTTCTGGGACCAGGACAGCCAGCAGCAAGACCTGGGGGGAAGGTACTGGGGTCTCACAGGGGGTCTGGTGGAAGCTCCCACACTGAACAGGGCCACCGCGCACCTCCGGCCTCTTCCCACCTCCCTTTCTGGGGTTCCTGCAGGCAGGTGGTCTGTACACAGCCTGGTGCCTACTACGTTTTATCCCAGCATCAACTCTGTAAAAGCACTGAGAGGCTTGGGAACCCGTCCGAGGTGTCAGGAGACGTTCCAGGTATGGCTCCTAAGGTTTCAGCTCCAGTGTGGTTTCCATCCATCCCCAGTTTTTCTGGGCCTTTCGGAGGCCTGCCTATAGGCTACTTAGAATAGCTTGCAATAAACTCACTCCCGTCTCTTCTCGTGTATATTTCATCTTCCTCCCTTTGCTCTTTCTCCTGGGAGTTTTCCTCAACTTTATCTTCATGTCCAATTTAGTTTTTCACTTCTGCCATCATGATTTTCGTTTCCAAGGGCTCATTTTTATTCTCTGTTTATTTCTCTTTCTTTTAATAGTATGCTCTCATTTTTACTGGATGTAATGTCTTCTCTGATTTGTAATCCAAGGTGCTTTTTTCCACTAGCTTGTTTGGGTCACCATCTCTCATGTCAGAAGCCTTCCTTGGGTACTTGGTAACTGTCTGCTCATAATTAAGAGTGGGAGGTGGTTGCTAAAAAGCTGTTTCAGAACTCCAGTCTCTGGGTGGGGTTCATCGACTGGGAGCTTCCCTGAAGGGTGAACTGAAGGGACCATTTCTTGAGGACAGTCAAGAACAGGAGGAAAGTTCTGGCTGTCAGGATCCTGGAGCTCAGCTGGGGAGGAATCACTGAGTAACCGCTGCTGTTCCCCTGTGTCCTCTCTGTCTTTGTGGGTCACGCCTCTAAAGACTGCTTTACTATAATTTTAGTGGGTATTGGAAGGGAATGAAAAGAGATGCAAGGGTTCAACCTGCTATCTTTATCCAGGATTGACACCTGATTTCCTGATGTTCAGTAATACGTTTCAAAAATGTTTCCAAAACACCCACTCCTCATTGCTGCTGGGATCTTGAGGGTCTCAGAATCTTCCACGCAGACAGCAGCTGCCCCCAAACTTTTCTCCTGGAGAGCTCTCCACGTCCGACCTCCCAGATGCTCCGCTTGGCTGGTATCCTCAGAGCCTTGCTCCCTGCTCTCCCCTCCCGTCCCCACACCGCCCTGCAGCCCAGCCAGGCTGCTCGGGGAGCCCCCTCCCTCCGCACGGACCCCTGGGAAAGGTCACTCTTTGTCGTGTTGATTATCAGAGGGCAATTCCCACGGAGAAGAGACATTTTTTGGAGTCTGATGAATAGGGCTTCCCACACCCGGTCCTTATCCATTCACCCCAGGAGTAGTTATTAGGCATTTACTATATGTTGTATATGGAGTGAGGTCTTGGGGGCTTAGAAGGCCTTTTCTCAGCAAATTCAGGGATAAGAACAAACAGGAGAATCGCAAACCTTGGGGGCTTTGCAGAGCTCAGATTCTCGACTCCAGTGCCCAATGCTGGGGCCCAGATAGGCTCACAAAGGCTACACGGTGGGCACAGTCCCTCCCAGAGAGACCCAGCCCAAGACAC